CAATCTTAAATTTGAAATAAATTTCAGAAGAAAAAGGAATAAAATTGATAGTCAACAAAAGTTTATTTGTAAAAGCAATGAGAAGACTATAAAACCAACACTGCATTTAAAACTTTTTTTCTGGATGATGATAAATACTCATTAGTGTACTTCAACCATTACATTAGCATTTTTTATCTTGACAGTTGTACTCTTTAATCTCCTGTTTGCCCCTTTCCTTCTTTCCTGTATAATCTCAGCTCTGACCAAATGAATTGTCGACAAATCCCTCAAAATTTCCACCAATAAGACTGGATGAAAAATGTACATAGGGACAATCTAGTGTGGCTCAGCCAACATATCCTCCACCTGCCTCTCTGTGTGTGTCTCTAATGGAGACACTGGGATTGCCTAACTCACCCCAATCGCCCAACTCTTCCAGCTCATTCCCCAGCAACAAAACAATCTTGAAGTGTGAACAGTGAAAAACTATTTGAAGGACTGTGATTAAGAACTCTAATGAGGATTGACCCATTTAAAAGCATGACCAAGGTAGTGAGCGAAAAGGTTTTAAAAAAAAATTATTTACACACACGCTTGGTTGGAGAATGGAACGTTTTTGACGCAGAAAACCACTGACACCAAAACATTGCTTTGTTTAGGAAAATGTTGAACAAATGCTTGACATAGAGGTGAATGCATGACCTCAGGGGCTAGGAGGGCATGGCCACTGGGCTAATTTTTGATTACTCCAGCAATGAGCTGGCATAGATAAGACCAGCTAATTAACCTTCAGCTTTGTTGCAAACCTCTAAAGTGGAGGAACACAGGAGTGAATTGCATCTTATCATTCTATGACATTTCATTATTTTGTGCTTCTGTGTTGCACTGAAACCAAAGAAATTTAAAAAGACATTTGATTGTTCATATTTGAATTGTGCATGTAACAAGTGGCTAGGATCTGAAATGTGAGTCTGTCAGAGACAGCTTCCAACGTGACTTTCAAAAGGGAAATGAATAATTGCCTGAATAGAAAAAAAAATTGTTGTGCTAAGAATAATGGTGAGGGAGTTGTACTCACTCCTCAAAAGTCATTGACTGACCTCTTTAAGGAACTTAATTGAGAGATAGCAGGAACTGCAGATGCTGGAGTCAGAGTAAATACAATGTGGAGCTGGAGGAACACAGCAGGTCAGGCAGCATCAGAGGAGCAGGAAAGTCGACGTTTCGGGTTTACACCCTTCATCAGGCCTTAATTGATGGCCGGCAAAGAAAGTTTCCAACAGATCTTTGCATTAATGGTGATGGCAAAAAGGGTACAAGAATCTCACCAGGGTAAACTCACTCAATAATTTCCTCCTTTTGCCACTTTCAGGAAGGAGAAAGTGTGCTCTGTGTTTATGATTTAAGCGAAAAGAACAAAGAACAGTACTGCACAGGTACAGTCCATTTGGCCTACTATGCCTATGCCACATGACGCCTTTCTAAACTAAAACTCTTCACCTCCACACGGTCTGTATCCCCCTATTCTCTGCCTATTCATATATCTGTCAAGGTGCCTCTTCAACTTTGCTAAAGTATCTGCTTCTACCACCTCCTCTGACAGCGCATTTCAGGCACACACCACCCTCTGCGTAAAAAAAATTTACCTCTCACATGTCCTTTAAACTTTCCCTCCTTTTACTTTAAATCTATGTCCCTTAGTAATTTACATTTCTACTCTGGGAAAAAGACTCTGACTATCCATTCTATCCATCCCTGTCATAATTTTATAAACTTCTATCAGGTCGTCCTTCAGCATCTGACATTCAAATGAAAACAAACAGTTTGTCAAATCTATTCTCATAGCTAATACCCTCCAAACCAGGCAACATTCTGGTAAACCATTTCTGTACCCTCTCCAAAGCCTTCATGTCCTTCTGGTAGTGTTGTGACCAGAACTGTACACAATATTCCAAATGTGGCCAGACTAAAGTTCTATATGGTGACTAGCCAGTTTTTATACTCTGTGCCTCAACTGAGGAAGGCAAGCCCATATTTTTCAAAATATGAGTAAATCCTGTACCTAAGAATCTTCTCCAATAATTTCCCCACTAAAGACATAATTTCCTGTAATTTCCTGAAATATTGGAGTGGCATGGTGGTTCAGTGGTTAGCACTGCTGCCTCACAGCACTAGGGACCCAGTTCAATTCCTGCGTCGGGTGACTGTCTGTGTGGAGTTTGCACATTCTCCCCATGTCTGTGTGGTTTTCCACCGGGTGCTCCGGTTTCCTCCCACAGTCCAAAGATGTGCGGATTAGGTGGCTTGGCCATGCTAAATTGCCCACAGTGCCCAGGGATGTGTAGGTTTGGTGGATTAGCCATGGGAAATGTAAGGTTACAGGGATAGGGTAGGGGGGAACGAGTCTGGGTGGGTTGCTCTTCAGAGAGTCAGTGTGAACATTTTGGGGCAATTGTCCACACTGTAGGGATTCTATGGAAAAAAAATCCCTGTTGCCCTTCTTAAACGTTGGCTATTCTTCAGTCCTCTGGAACCTCTCCTGTAACTAAAGAGGATACAAAGATTTCGTACAGAGCCTCAGTGGCTTCCTCCTTCAGTATTCTAGGATCCCATTAGGTCTTGAGGTCTTGTCTATCTTAATGCTTTTCCCAACACTACTACCTTTTTTATATCGACATGCCCTAGAAGATCAACATACCCTCTTCTAGACTCACCATCCACCATGTCCTTCTCCTTTGTGAATACCAATGAAATACATTTGTTAAGGACCTCACCCACTTCCTCCAGCTCCATGCAAAAATTCCCTCCTTTGCCCTTGAAGGTTTAATTGAAAATTCCAAATTTCTGAGGGGCTACATATTGGACAAAACTCTAATGTGCAGTGCCAGGAAGAGATGAGAATTTTAAGCTCAAGATGAGAGGCATAGAGAGAGTGGATAGTCAGAGACTTTTTCCCAGGGCAGAAGTGACTATTACGAGGCGGCATAATTTTAAGGTGATTGGAGGAAGGTATAGGGGAGATGTCAGAGGTAGGTTCTTCACACAGAGTGTGGTGGGCGTGTGGAATGCGCTGCCGGCAGCTTTAGAGACTTTTAAGCGACTCTTGGATAGGCAGATGGAGGATAGTAAAATGTAGGGTTTGCAGGGTAGACTGATCTTAGTAGGATAATAGGTCGGCACAACATCATGGGCCGAAGGGCCTGTACTGTTCTATGTTCTATGTTCAATGTTCTATGTCAAGACTTTGCAGGATGGAAGGCCACGTAAATCAGAAAGAATAGGTTGAATCGTTTCATTGATTAACCATGTAAGGAGATAAAAACAGTGACGGAGTGGAACTAATTGAGTTGTTTTTACAAAGATTCACATTGACTTGAACGGCTGAATAAGCCTCTTCTGTGCTCTACCCACTCTGTGTTTCCATGACTATGATGTTCCCTTTTTCAGCTTAAGTTTGGGAGTGGGTGTGTTAGGTGCCAACTGATCTGCCCCCAACTGCTGAGAAAACTGGCAGGATTGTGCACTAATCAGTTTGTTAAGAGCTGACTAGAGAGCTTTGCTGGTCTTCTTGGTCTATCACAGGTCTTGGCAGTGGAGCCAATCCCTAGAACATAACTTAGTGCAAGCAACAGGGTTTGAGGCTGAGCTCAGGTTTTTTGGAATGGAGATGGGAGACTAGCCAGTAGAATATTGGAATAGTGAAGTCCAAAGCTTACAAAGCCATTCAGCAACAGTTGAGCTGAATCATAAGTGGATTTCAGCAAAATTACAGAAATCAATGGAAAGTGTTATGACCAAATAGAGACCATTCAGATTCTCCACATAGAAGGATTTAATTTTCACTATTCACTCTAGCAAAACCATTCATAATTTTTTTACAGTTTACATAATCTCTTCTTAACCAGTCGGTAAAGGCTAAGCCAATCTTTCATTTCCTATATATATAGAAGCTAAACTCCCTTCAAACACCAAACAGCATTGTACCCTCAGACTTTGTCTAGATGTTTGGGAATTGTTCAACTCGCCAAGGAAAGGTTAATTTTACAACTTATTATTTTGTTATTGTTACAGTTGTAAGTTTAAATTTAATTTATTTTTGTGATGTAACATATGCTTTGGTTTTATTTTTGAAAGGTGGTATTTAATATCATATAAAATAAAAGAAAGGTTTACATAACATCTTTCACAACCTCAGGACATGCCAAGGCACTTTCAAACTAATGGAGTACATTTGATGTGTAGTTACTCATGTGATGTAGGAAACAGTATTTGTAGTAGCCCCAAGGCCAGTATGAACTCCTGGCGATGGCAGGAAAAAGACCTATTAGTTTTGACATGATGTTGTCTACATTACAGCACTGAGATGGTTTCAGTACAGGCTTTTAGTGTCCCATTAGTCATCACATGACAAACACAACTAAAGTTCAACATCTAATTCACACAAACAAAGCTCCCATAAACGGCAATGAGAAGATGCCCAGGTAATTGTTTTTAAACCTACTGATTTTACTTATTAAATTAATAACACAAATATATATTTTGTGAAAGATGGAAAACACAATCGCACAAATATTGCTTGCACAGAATAAAACAACGTGACCTTAGGCCCTCCTCAATGGTATAAATACCATTGCTACAGTTGGTTTCTTACATATGGCTAGCATGTGATCATCATTGAGTATTTGCTTTACATCCTTAAAGTACGTGCGTTATTTGCCTTCGTAGAAATATATACTTCAGTTTAACAATAATTCATAGTGTACCGAGCATGAGATGTTATAGGCTTTGTATGAATACAATATTAAGACCTTAATATTAAATTCTGAATAATTTGGATTCAATTATAATTGTAGGGTCTGCTTGGCAAATTGTTGAATAAGGATAAAGTACGATGACCAAAATGGTAACTTACATATAGCATAATGTTTTAAACTGAAAATGTAAGTATGTTTACACAGTTGTGCTATTGCTCGAACTTAACTCTATCTATAAACAATAAAAAGTACATTTTTACTTACTTCTACTTGCAGCTGTCTCACGCAAATTTAACACAGTAAGACAGATTCCCAAACAGAAAGCTATCCTCCTCATCTTTGCTGGAATTTCAGCTGGAGCACCAATGGGTAAAACCTTAACCTGAAGCATGTGTTCAATGGTGTATCGCACTACAAGTACTTGCTCAAAATTTGCTAGCTGCCTTTAGCCTATCGACTTTATAACATATTTTATGATTTAATGGCAGTTTCAACAAAACCAACCTTTTGGACTCTCTACCAATAAAACTGAGTGAAATGACGCAGACAGATAGTAACCAGGCAACCAGGTTGGTGTAAGGCACATATTGAATTTTTACCCCTATTTATATACAACACGTGACCAAATCTACTGCACCATTGTCCACTGAAATACACACCCACAGGTATTTGTAGTAGCCCCAAGGCCAGTATGAACTCCTGGCGATGGCAGGAAAAAGACCTATTAGTTTTGACATGATGTTGTCTACATTACAGCAGTGAGATGGTTTCAGTACAGGCTTTTAGTGTCCCATTAGTCATCACATGACAAACACAACTAAAGTTCAACATCTAAAACAATTTCTCACCATTATTTTATTGGTTTCACAAGATCATACCATATTTGGGATTAAGGAAGGCCTTCTATACCAAATTAATTCATCTGCCCGAGCAACCCAACACTCCACCCATTGCTGCATCTATTTCTTCCTTAAACGTTTTTGTCTCCACTGTTTTCCCAACTATTACGGTCCCTCTGTTTGTCATTCCCCGCCTCCTTCAGTCCTCAGGTTACCTCCTTTAGTTTGAATAGGTATCCATTCATTCTCATTCAAAGTAGCATTCTGGATTAATCCATTTCCCATTCCCTCAACTCTCACCTAGGTTGCTATGAGGTCATTATTCAGACACTTTTTATTCAGGTTGAAAGAATTTTTCTTTGTGTCGTTGGGGAAAGTAAGAAACTCCAGAAGAGACGTTTTCTTCATCATTTTTCAATTGGTCATAGTTTTCAAGTTACTTCCACACTTACTCTGGAGATGCAGAAGTAACACTTCAGTTATTGAGGTGAGATTTGAATCATAGAATTGTACAAATTGGCCATTCAGCCTATTCTGTTTGGGAAGTTGCTTTTTAGTCAGAGCCACTGTATTGTTAGTTCTCCATAGTCCTGAATATCTTTTCTTTTGCAAGTATATATCCCATTTAATTTTGAAACTATCCAGTGGATAGTTTTGATTTTGTTTTTAATTGTAATCCATAACCTATAACATGAAGTTACATTCAGAGAATGGGAGGCATTTCATTATTTTATTAAGTATCCATGAAAATGCTGTGCAACTGAACTGTAAAGTTATTTTTGGTTATTAATTAGCTCCAATATTGTAATCTTTGCACAATAACAACAGCATTCATTTTGCATCAGGTGATTCACGTCTCTTGCATGTTACAGAACTATGTAAGCAAATGATTCACCAAAGTTTTTGCTGCACCTTTGTCCAAAGAGACTTGGGGTACGAAGTTCCCTGAAAGTGGCATCACAGGTAGACAGGGCGGTGAAGAAGGTGTTCGGCATGCTTGCCTTTGTCGGTTAGAGCATTGAGTACAGGAGTTGGGACATCATGTTACAGCTGTGAAAGACATTTGTAAGGCCACATTTGGAGTACTATGTGCAATTCTGCTCATCCTGTTATAGGAAGGATGTTATAAAACTGGACTGGGTGCAAAAATGATTTAACTGATTTAAAAAAGGATGTTATTAAACTGGAATGGGTGCAAAAATGATTTACAAGTATGTTACTGAGACTGAAACATTTGAGTTGTATGGAGAGACTGGGTAGGCTGGATCTTTTACCCCAGAGCATAGGAGGCTGAGGGTTGACCTTATAGAGATTTATAAAATCATGAGGGGCATTGATAGGGTGAATAGCCAAGGTCTTTTCCACATGGTGGGTGACTCCAAAAGTAGAGGGTAGAGGTTTAAGGTGAGAGGGGAAAGATTTAAATGGGACCTGAAGGGCAACCTTTTCACACAGAGGGTGGTGTGTACAGGGAGCGAGCTGCCAGAGGAGTTGGTAGCAATGGGTACAATTACAACATATAAGACGTTTGGACAGGTAAATGGTTAGGAAAGGTTTGGAGGGATATGGGCCAAATACAGGCAAATGGAAGTATTCAGTATAGGCAACCTGGTTGGCATGGATGAACTGGGTTGAAGCGTCTGTTTCCATGCTCTGACTAATTGTACCTTAGCACAGGGCTGAGAAATAGTGACACAATCAATAATTTAGGTGCATGTTGCTGTAAATCAGTAACTGATGCACTCCCTGTCTAGGAATATTCAGGAATGTTGCCAAAATCCCCTAAAAATTTACCCCATCAGCAACTAGTGTGGTGCAAATGAAATAGCAATGTCGATAAAACTTTTCTGTGAAAAGGAATATGCTAAAATGAACACAGCATCATGTTGGGCTAGCTAATAACAGGAAGTAATAAGCAAAATTCAAATAAAATAATGCAAGAAACAAAGGCAAAACACCAAAAGCAAATAGTCTGGCACACCTTTAAAGAGCAAAATCCGACAGATCCAAATGTCACTTTCCTCTTGTGTCAGTTTTAAATGTGGCTTAAGAATTGTAGAACCATATAGTATTACAAGATACAAGGAGCCTATTCATTTCATCTATGCAAGCTGTTTGTTAAAGCAATGTAAAACTAGTCTCAATGTCCTACCCCCTTCTTGTAGTTCCATTCTTTCCTTCACAAATGCTTACCCATTTTATGGGTTAGTCACCTCAAAACTTTCAGATTACCATTAACTATTTTGCCTTTTGTTCAGTTCTTTATTGATGCTATTCCTTGTTCTTTTAAAGTTCTTTAAAATGCATTTGCAAAACTTGTAATTCATTGCTTGGATCTCAGTGCCCAATTTCACTATCCAGCGAGGTTTTGTAACACAAAGAGAGTCTTGAAAATATAAACCCAGTACATCTGTATCATGGTTACCTTTGATCGCTATGCCTTCAGTATGATGAGATGAAATATGAATAGCAAGCTATTTGGGAAGAAATTGAGTTGGTCCAACCTTATCTCTATTTGTGTTCTAATCCTAACAGCCACCCACACACAAAACCGATCAATTCAACCACCCTCTTTTTCACATTAAAGCAATCCTTTTGCATTACAGGAAACCATCTGATACTTTCAGCTTTCTGTTCAATCTATCCCCTGTACTAATGACTGGTTAAGTATCATTTGGGTATAGATATTTTGCTCAGAGGTTTAGAGGAGGTGGAACTTGAATCTGGACCTCCTGGCTCAGAGGTAACGACACCACCACTGGGTGTACATTGGTTCCCTGTCACTACTGAGACAGTTTCATTTCACCTGGGAAATGCTATATAGACTTTGCAAAGAAGATAGGAGAAAGATGGAGTGGGAAAAGGAAAAGAAAAACTGCTTCACAATATATTCCTCCCCATGTATATTTGCAGAAATATATTATAAGTTGTATATGTATGTGACACACAGCATATATAGTATACATATATATGTAATATATGACATTTTACATGGGACCCAATTTTTGCTTCTGAAAAACAGCATTAACACAATGACAACAGCCTAAAAATGAGCTTGTGATCCTACCATCACATTAACTCAGATGATCAGGCTTCCTTCTATTAAATAGAGACTAAAACTGTGCGGCCAAAGCACCAGCTGAATAAGCAACGGGCGCCTTTCATGCAAATCAAGATCCTAATGAGGGAACTAGGATCACAAATGCAATTTTTAAGACACATGGAAAACGATTGCTATGCAAATCTCTTGCCCTTTTGTGCTGTGTTGTGTTGATATTCTTAATAATTAATAAAAAAAACACTCGAGGAAGTTTGGACAACTGAAAACTGGTTGAGTTTTCGGTCACCGTTGAGTGTTGATCAGGAGAAGAACTTGCTGAAGAGCTAGGAAATGAGAGTAGGATGTGTGACAGCAGTCAGGATTGTATTGGAATCATGCTTGCAGGTTCCATGGAAGAGTGTTTCAGTGGCCAATGAGCTGAGGCAAGAGTAGAATGAGGTGATATTATGGAGGTGGACAGCCTTAGCCCTGCAGCAAATATGTGGCTCAAAGTCTTTTTTGGACTGACACTGAGATTGAAAAAAGACTGGTTCAGTCTCAGATAGTTGCCAGGTGGACAGGTAAGTCAGTAGTTGGTAAAATGTTTAATTTGTTCATGGATGTAGGCATTGCTGGCCATGAAGTATTTATTGCCCCAAAGGGAGTTAAGAGACAACCACATTGCATTAGGTCTGGAGTCACATGGAGACCAAACCAGGTTAGGGCACCAGATTTCCTTCCCTAAATATGTGATAATATGTGAACCACTATGGACTTTTAATGACAATTACCAGTGCATGAGGCTAACTTTTTATATTCCAGACTTTTATCAAGTTCAAATTTCATTATCTGCCATGGTGGAATTTGAACCAATGTCCCCAGAACAATAGACTGGGGTACCAGATTACTTGTGTAGTGACATTATCAGTACATTCCCACCTCCCCCAACACCAGGGTCTCTCCCCTGGAATTGAGTTGGGACAGAGAATGAAGACAATGGCTTTGGTCTATCCAATATTTAACTGGAGAAGACTTCTCATCATATAGAACTAAGGCAAGAATTTTAAGTGTGGCTTGCTATTTTTGAGAAGGGAATTACAGTTTGCACCACTCCCAGAATTATCAAAATGCTGGATGAGGCAATTCAGCCATTATGATCATGAACTTCACATGGGCACTGGGAGACAACACATCTTGACTGGATGAAGTCTCACTTTCATAGAGGAATTACCATCCGTTGTGTTGTGTGGCTCTACCACCGTGCTAAATGGGACAGACTTCAAACAGATCTAACGACTCAAGACTGGGCATCCATTCCACAAGACACTGTGGGCCATCAACATCAGCAGAGTAACACTCCAATGCAATCTGCAATTTCATGGCCTGGCATATCCCTCACTCAACCATTGTCATCAAACCAGGGGATCAACCCTGGTTCAATGGAGAGTGTAGGTGGGCATGTCAGGAGCAGCACTAAGCATACCTGTAGAGTGAGGTGTCAAAGTGGTGAAGCTACCAAACAAGACTACTCACATGCCAAACGGCATAACCAGTGAGTGATAGACAGAGCTAAGCAATCTCACAAC